GGGACCTGCAAGCAGAAGAGCAGATCAGGTTCAGAACTGTCCTGCACGAGGCCAGGGCACAGTGAGCAGTGGACAGCTTTCTGCACTGCTCCCAGCCCTGTGAAGAGGAGAAGGCAGAGAGGGTAATGCTGCCACCAACACTATTTCACCACCAGGAAGGACAACTGAGACAAGGAGCAGTTGGAGAGTTTCATAAGTCAGCAGGAGGCTCACCAGAACCCATTCTGAGTAAGGAGGGATGGACAACCAACACTTCTCTCTCACAGAGCCAGTTTTCAGAGTACAGGGCTTAGGTTCACCCAGATGAGGCTGCAGGATGGGAAGGGACATTGGATCAGTTCAACAGCATCGTGCCTGGAGGCTGCGATTCAGGCTGGACCAGCAGTGACCCACTTCACACATGGGCTGCTGCTGCTTCCCTGCTCACAGACCATGGTTTGCCATCAGGAGTACCAGCCCCATCCACTTCAGATCCAGCAGCTTTTATTTGATTCGGATCAGACACCCAGGCACAGCTCCTGGCAGGGCAGACCAATGCCTGCTTCCAAAGCCGTCTGTGTCCCTGACAGAAAGTATGGATTGTAACCTTTAGACTGCTAATTTGTGTGAAGCAGGTCAGAAAAATTTCCTGATAGTACAGGTGATAGGTAAGAAAGACCTTTGTGCCAGGCAGGGCTTGGGATTTCAGCACACAGGGTGCAGATCCATGGACTTTATCCTCCCAGGTGGCACTTTCCTCTTGAGGTGTTATATCAATCCTGGATCTGCCCACAGGGGCCTAAACAGTGTTTTTGTGGAGGCACTGGCATGTAGGAGGCAGGAAGGTGCAGGCTGGTGGGAGTGTGGGGGTGGAGCAGGATCTCTTCAGCTGGGTCTGTCACAGAAACAAGGGCAAGGACATCTCCTCCCTGATCCCTTCTGCCCTGGAGACACCTCCACCAAAAACAATCCCCAGCAAAGCTGCCCTGCCTGGCCCTGCCTGAAACCCACAGTCCCACAGAACCCTCTTGCAAGACAACGGGGTTGTTTCACAAGGCTTTTGCAACGGGCTTAACCAAATTACTGTGTGGAAAGAGGTGTGAAACCAGCAGGAATGGGGGCAAGTGGCCACAGTGAGTCCTCTGGGCAACGGCCTTGCACTCTGCTGTTCCCTGTCTCACCATTCACCTGCTCTCCACAGCCTGGGTAGGTCCAGCCCCTGCATTCGTCCTCTGCAAGGTCAACTCCTTCCTGTGGCTGGTGGTGCTCAGGCAATCGTGAAAAAGTAAACACCAAAGACAAAAGCTTTTATTGTGGAGCTGCCGAGTTTGGCTGCCGTGGGGAGGGCTGGGGGGAGATAAATATTGCTAAACCAGAGTTTCCAGGCAGCCCAGGCTTCCCAGTGGACAGGATTCACACCTCCCTTCCCACATCTGCTAATAGCAGCAGGTCATGCCAGGGAACAGGAGAAAGCAAGGGCAAAAATCACCAGTAAAATTGCAAAGGGGACGAGTTTCACAGGTGCAAAAGCTGGTCTGTCCTCCAGCATCTCGGACAGCGTGTTCAAACAACCCCATTCCACATCTCAGGAGTTCCCTGCCCTCAGCTGCAGCTCAGAGCTGGCCACCCCACACATGGCAGTGAAGCCTGTGAGGGAGCTTATGTGAACCCAGTAGTTTAATCTCCAGGATGCTCCCACGCCTCTCCTGGGGAGCTGGTTCCTGGGGCTGTGCTTACACACCTGATGGGAACTGGGTGAACGTACCCTCCACGTGTCCTTGCTCCACCTCTTGTCTCTCCTCTTTCCAGGGGAGAGATGGCTTGTCTTCTTTTAGTAGGAGCTAAGTCCCAATTTGTTGGATAGCATTCCATCCCACCCTCCTTTCCAGGGAAATTAATATATACTTTCTGCTGGAAGGGTAATAAATGCAATAAAGCCTGCGCTGCATTAATATGCAAACTGGTAACAAGGTTTTGTAAGTATCAAGTGTCAGTTGAAGATTTTAATGAGGCCAAGCAATGTTTCTGAAGCTGTTTTCTCAGTTAATGTTTAACAGGACAACCACGGAGTCAAGGACCAGGAGGAGTTCGATGTAGACCAGCAGAACAATGTATTTTGTGTCTGCTTCGAGGTTCTGGCTGGGCAGTAACACTTGCAAAGGCATATGTAAATAATATCCTAGGGCAAGGAAAGCTGTGTGGGAGGGAATTGCCTGCACCTCCAGGCAGCGGAGCAGCAGCCCCTGCTCATGCTCGCGTGTGAAGTGCCCTTTTCCCACAACCTTCATCACCCCCTTTGTCACTTGGGCTTGCTGGTGTGGCACAAAATGAACCAGAGGATTTTATTTGGTTTGGTTTTGTCAGTTTTTTCCTGTTTTGTGGAGCAAACTGCCTCATGGGAGGCTCTGCCAGATGTTGGGGTGCTGGAGCATGTCCAGAGAGGGGCAATGGAGCTGGGGAAGGGTCAGATGAGAAGCAGCTGAGGGAGCTGGGGAGGCTCAGCCTGGAGAAAAGGAGGCTCAGGGGGGACCTTCTGGCTTTCTGAAATTCCCTGACAGGAAGGTGGAGCCAGGTGGGGGTCAAGCTCTGCTCGCAGGGAACAAGAAACAGGACAAGAGGAAACAGCCTCAAGTTGCACCAGGGGAGGTTTAGGTTGAATATTAGGAAAAATCTCTTCACCAAAATGGGTGGTCAGGTACTGGCACAGCTGCCCAGGGCAGTGGTGGGGTCACCATCCCTGGAGGGATTTAAAAGCCACATAGATGTGGCAGTTTGGGACATGGTTTAGCAGTGGCCTTGGCAGTGCTGGGGGAGGAGTCAGGCTTGATGATCTCAGAGAGCTTTTCCAACCTAAATGAGTCTGTGATTCTGTGTGAGGAGGGCAGCATGACTGGGGCAGAAGAGGCTGTGGAATAATAGCTGGTGATTCACCCTCTGCATCCAGAGAACTGGAAAAGGCTCTCTAATGTCTCTCACACCTCTCATCACCAGAAGGTTTCGTTTGGGATACAGTTCAGGTTCTTCAGACAAAGCAGAATAGATCCTGTTTTTCTCTTGCCCAAGAACACAGCATGTCATGTAACTAATTTAAATAATTTCTTCCTGGTTGAGCCTCATTAGAGACCCAGCAGTAAAGTGGCCTGATTAGATCGACTAATCGATGCGGGGAAAGGGAAGCTGGTTTCAGCACGCAGGGCAGCAGGGGGGCAGGGCCAGGCTGCTCCACTCCCCGGGGACCACCACTGTCCCCAGCCACCCCACCACAGCCCCCCACCCCACCTCGTGCCCACGGCTGTCCCCTCACCGCTGCCCTCCACCGTGAGTCCTAGTCATGTGCCAGGGGCAGGGATGGTGCCTGAGCGTCCGACCTGCGTCCTTGACCTGTTTTATCTGGGCTTTCCTATCTTCCCCGTGCACGTGTCCCGTTATCAGCAGAAGGGGACAGCCCCCCTGCAATGGTCCTGGTCCCCAGCCTGGTGCCCTGTCCAGTCCCCACGGGGAAGGGGAGTGGGAGCAGAAGGGTGTGGGGGGCAGTGGGGCCCTGGGGGTTCCTGGTGGGGCTGAGATTCTCTGGGTCCCACAGCTCTCAGCCCTGGCCCTGAGCAGGCAGAGAGGCCTTGGTGGGGCTGCAGCTGCACTCTGAGATGCCCCGTGCCCACTCTGACCCCTCTGTCCTTCATTTAACCCCCTGCTCAGCCCCCCCTTGGCTGCACTGTTGGGGATCCCCCTCCCCACGGGCAGGGGTGGGACCCTGTGGGTCAGACCAGACATTTCCAACTTCAGGTCCCTTGGACCCCACTCACCCAGCCGGGGCCAGGGCAGGGGCTGAGACAGGGATAGGAACAAGGGTCAAGGCAGGGGCCGGGACAGGGACAAGGGTCAGGGCAGGGGCTGGGACAGGGACAAGGGTCGGGGACAAGGGTCAAGGCAGGGGCTGGGACAGGGACAGGGACAGGGACAGAAAAGTACCTGGGATAGGGGCAGGGACAAGGGCAGTACGAGGACAGAGACAGCGGCAGGCACTGGGACAGGAGCAGGGAAAAGGGCAGGACCAGGAACAAGGGCAGGGACAACGGCAGTAGCAGGGCCAGGGGCAGTGGCAGGGATAGGACAGGACCAGGGACAAGGACCGGGGCAGGGGCAGTAGCTGGGACAGGGGCAGGGACAGCAACAAGGGGCAGGATCAGGGACAAGGACAGGGGCAGCGGCAGGGACAGGAGCAGGGTCAGGGACATGGACAGCGGCAGAGAGAGGAACAGGGGCAGTAGCCGGGACAGGAGCAGGGACACGAACACGACCGGGGACAGTCCACAGGGCAGTGCCGGCCGCTCCCCCGGGCCACGCCCCTTTGACCACGCCCCTTTTGTGGGCGTGTCCCGTAGCCGTGACGCGCTCGCCCCGCCCCGCGGGGGCGTGTCCCGATCGCTGCCCGTGACGTCACGGGCGCGGGGTGCGCAGCAGGTGCGGGGCGCGCAGGGCGGAGGTACCGGGGGGTCCCTGCGGGGCCGGGCGGGGGGTCCGGGGTGGGACACCGGCAGGGCTCGGCTGGGCACGGCCGGGCTCCGCTCGGCTCCGCGCGGGGGGAGCTGGCGCGCCCGGGTGGGAGCGGGTCCGGGCGCGGGGGTCGCGCTGGGGCTGAGGAGGATGAGGAGGATGAAGAAGGGGATGAGGAAGGCTCGGGGTGAGCGGCGGGAGCCGCCGCACCGCTGGGAGCCGGCGGTGGGTGACAGCGCTGCGGAGGGGTCGGTGCGGGGGGGGGGGGAACCAGCGGAGCCCCCCGGGCGCTCCCCCCGCCCCAGCCCGGGGGTCCCTCGCTGTGTGCAGCCCCAGCGAGGCGATCGGTGTCCCGGTTTATAGACAGTTCCCGGCTGCCGGGTCTGGGGCTGGGGGCTGCCAGCCCTGCCCTGTGCGCGGGGAGCTCGGGAGGGCCCGGGCGGGGCTGTTTGTACAGCTGGGGGGGGCAAGGAAGGGCATCCAGAGCAGATGGGCACGGCTCGAGCTAAAGCCGGGCTTATTTAGTGCGGGGCAAGACGCGAGCGAGCACTCGGAGTAATAATAATAATAACGCCGCATCGTGTGCTTGAAAAGCCTTTATGGTTGTCCTGGATTATACGTTTCCTGTTCCTATAGCTGAGGAGACCTCATTTGGATAATTAAGTGGTGAAATAGGAGAATGAGGAAAAGGGGGGGTACTCGCCTCCTCTCCTCTGCCACATGGATCTGCCACCCCTTCTGGTGGCGGTGGACGGATCCTCTCTGTGCGGGGTAGTGCCGAGATCTGTCCCAGTCATTCCAGATTCGCGTTTAGCTTTGTCTGAAAGGGGGGGAGAAAAAGAAAAAAAAAGGTGCGTTTTGCTTTTGATGCCTTTGCTACGAGACGTGTGTGAACAACCTGATTGTAAATAGGGTAAGTCCGGGTAAGGTAGTAAGTGTGGGTGAGTTAGAATGTCTGTGCTGAGCAGCTGCTTTCTCTTTGTGCTGTGGTAAACACGGGGTTGGGATACGAGATGTGGGAAGTGTTGCTGTGCCAGGAGAGGGGTATTTTTCACCAGTTGCTTTAATAAAAACTGACTCCTCGTAGAAACTTTTGGTGATGATGATAATAATATTACTACTTCAGATAGACTGATGAGGCTGAGAACACTGATTTTTGCTCAGTAAATTTTATTGATCCTGTTTCAGGGCTTTTTGGGGACAGTCAGGGATTAATGTGCATGTTAGATAATAATCTTCTACTGCACAGAATAGTGGTTTTACCAAGCCATGAAACTTCTGTAGCACGAACTCTGCCTCTTATTCATGTGCTATAAAGGCCATCTTTGTTAAATACTGATTTGTCATTCCCTGAGTGGTGTGAGAGCTGTAACTGATAATCTGCAGAGGCTCGTGGTTGTCCTTGCTGCAGAGGTCGAAGGGAAGAGGAGAATGTCCTGTAAAGGAGTGGCTCCCACACGGGTGGGGGCTTTGCATGAGCTGAGCAGACCCTGCCCTGGGCTCAGTGAGAGGAGAGAGCTCCAGGGTTTTGCTGCCCTGTGTCCCCCCCCGCCCAGGTCCGTGTTACATTTAAAATTGGCAGTGGTTTGCTGCTCAGAAAACAGGAGGTGTTCTGTGAGCATAAGCAGAGATGTTCCTGCTCACAGCGTTGCACTGGGATGATGGAAGTACCTGGAGGGCTGTGTGTGCCAGAAGCAGAGGAGCTGCCTGTTCTCAGGGGTATTTCTATGCATGATCAGATGAATATGTTACCTAATTTTTTTCTGTGAGGGCAGAGCTTGTGTAACTGTGGATTTTCAAGAAGCAGGCCTGCATTTCTCCTGTCCCCTGTTTGTGATCTCCCTGTGGCACAGCTGGAAGCTTAGCAGGGCTCCCTGAAAACTTTCTCGTGGGAGCTGAAGCCTTGAATGAGCAGGTTCGTGTGCTGCCGTCAGTATTGATGTTTTCTACTCTCTCGGTGCGTGTTCTGTCTTTCCCAACTTCCTGCTTCTGACCTCAAACCCGGTGGCTCAATGAGTAGAAAATAGCCCCGTCATTTCTGGGAACAGGGAAAGATCGGAAGGAGCCGGAGTCATTCAAGCACACGGTCAGTGTTGCCAGGCCTGGCGTCCTGCCGGCAGCAGCTCGGCTTCCCGCAGGCAGCCAGGAGCCTCCCAGGCTGCTCTGCCTGGGTGGGAGGCTGCCTTCTCCAGATTTTGAGGGTGAAGTGCTTGGCCTCACACCCATGAAGGGCAGGCAAATGCAGGGCTGCCCTCACCCCGTGTCCCGGGGAGCATTTCCCACGTGGGACATAACGATGTGGAAGTGCCACCACCCCACTGCTGTGCTCCAGTGCCTGCCCAGGACTGCAGGGAGCTTCAGGGAATGGACCTCCTTGGGAGTGTCTGGTTGTATTCCTTATGCCAGGCACTGCTGGACAAAAGCTGCTGTTTCTGTCACTTACATATCAGAAAGGGATATTTCCCCCCTAAGATTATAACATATTCTTGAGGTATTATTTGGTCTTACCAGCTATTGAGGGCAGTGCCCTGAAGTGTAAAAGCTCTTCAGCCTCTGACAGGGTAAGGCAAAGGCTTTCTTGGGTTGGTGACAACTGGTATGGGATGAACTGGCTTGTGCCCTGTGACAAGCAGCCATTAAAGAGGATTCTTGCATATGCCCTACAGGCAAAGTAAAGCATCCTGTTAGAGCAGCAAGTAGGACGTGGAAGAGCAGAAAAAGTGAGAAAACGTAAGGGAGGGAAAAAAAAAAAATCTCGGTCTCATTCTGCTTTCCAGCCTCTTACAACAATCCTTCTGAGTAATGAGATCTCAGCTGTAGAAAGTGCCTGTATTTCTGTCCATGCACATGCCAAAATAACCATGCCCTGGGATGTGTGTGCTGCCCTAAAATCTGGGGAGCATCTTCCACTAAATCCACCAGTGTATCGGAGCTGGGGAGGTTACCCTGAAAGAACACTGCTGTTCCATGGCTGGAGTGCTGCCAGAACACCATCTGAATAACATATGATGAATGTATTATCTGTGCTTATTAATTTTCTTGCCAGTCATACTGTTTTTCACATTCTCTTCTCAGTGGGACCAACAAAGCTTCTTTCTTTAAATATTATTTGCAGGTCTAGTTTAACTTGGCAATCAGATGTTTTCATTGATTTTTTTGTCTGTTTTATTTGGTATTTATTTCACCTTAAAACTGCTAACACACCACTTGAAAAGCAAACTATAGTAATGTATTTTTGGAATTACCTAAGGCAGCACATTATGCAAAGACTTGAACAAGAGCAGTGCCTGCAAAAGCATTTAAAACCTGAAAACAAGATGTTAACACTCCTCTCTGTAGTGATTTCTGTGTAAAGATGCTTTTTGGTGTATTTTGCCACAGGCACTTCTGTACCTGGGCAGAGTCTCACCTGGTGTGTCAGCAACAAGTGCCATGGCTGACACCACCCAAGGGGCTGTGCAGTGGTGTTTTCTGTCATTATGATTATTAGTCCCTGGTGTTTAAGTATATGTTCTTAAAACCTTTCATCAAATGTCTAAAAAACTTGACAAATTTTCCCCATGAGGGTGCAGTTCATGTAATAACAGTAGCAGGGCAATGGATTTGATTTTATTATTATTATTATTATTATTATTATTATTATTATTATTATTATTTACTAACATTTTTACTGTAGGAACTACACTGTGTCAGCTTCATGCTTTTCTTCTGCCATGCAGGACACGTAGGTGGACAGTGTGTTGCAAGCAAGAAAACTGGGCAGTAAGTGGCAGGTATAGTGTTTCTGAAGAGGTTTGTGTGTTCCTGACAGTTGACAAGACATTGAAATTTGTCTGTAGAGGGGAAAATCCTGGTATGCAAACATGAGTGCATTAGTGAGGGTTCTGTGGAGACAGAGGAGCAAGGATAGATCTGTGACTGTGAAGCTCTACAAAGGACGATTCCTCTGAGGCAAAAGCTGCTGTGACTACAGGCCCTTTAAAGCTGATGAAAAGTCCTGGTGTTTGAAACCAAAATCACCTGGAAATGTGCATATCCATCATGGCTTTGCCAAAAAGGCAGGGCAGACGATGGGACTGGAGAGGTGGGACAGTCTGTAGGGACACCAGTGTCAGCCTCAAAGATCAGTGCACTCTCCACTTGCACACACGGGCAGACTTCAGGCCTCTGGAGGGCTTGGAGTCTCCCAGGAAGAAGGAATACCCAGCTCAGGAACTCAGAAGGTTAAATTCTTGTTCACCCAAACCGCTGTTCACTCCACAGAGCTGCCTGAGCTGGTGGCAGCAGAGTTGTTTTGTGCAGGAGATGCCTGGCAGTCAGTTGACTAAACATGAGGAAACACACCTCTTCCCAAGGACCAGGAGTGTCCTGGAGCTCCAGACACCTCTTAAGGCAATAGTTTTGAACAGGGGAGGGGTTTTTAGCTTTTGCTTTGGCAGTACAAAGCTGGGCTCTTCACTTCTGCTCTTCATACAGGCTCTTCACCTGTATTTTATGAAGTAAAGCAGTTTTGAGCACCTTTTGTCAGAAAAGGTGGGGGCAGTTCTTGTGCAGTTCCCCTTCAACTGTTACTCTAGGGGAAGTGTTGCTCTGCTGCTGAAGTGGGAGGGCAAACCAGGCAGGAAGCTCTTCCTGGAAGCGAACTGAGCAAGAATGGAATCTCTTACAATTTATCCTTAACATACCTTTCATGCAATCACTAAATGGACCTGGCAAATAAGCTGGTAAGAGGGAAACGCGGAGCCAGTGCCATTTAAGAGCCACTTGTGCTCTTTTTTCATTTGGATACTGTTCATATGAAATGTAATTTAAATGCTAGGCCGGTTGCCAGGAGCCGGATTGTTGATGTTAAATGTACTTTCCATTAGAGCTCTGTATTGGAAAACGACTTCCTAGCGCTGCAGGCATTGGAAGGGGTGGGTTACATCAGGGTGCCCCAGTTGTCCTTCTCAGGGTCTGGCCTCTCATTGTGCCCTCCACCTTCCTCTGTGTAAAGACCAGCTGAATCAATATCTACCATACCCAAAACACGACTCCTCCTGACTTCCGGCAGCACAAGGTGTGGTGCTTGTTTTCTGTCCTAGAAAAAACCCAACTTCTTGCCTTTAAATCCCAAAAATCTACTAAAAGTTTTGCTGCTGATTTCCTTTTTTTTTTTTTTTAATTTACAGATCCCCCATTTGTTTTCATAGGGCTGTTTCTTGCACTGTTCCCTATGCAGTAAGAGGCGTTTCTCCCTATTTCAATACCCAGTTTAGACTCTCATCTCCCCAGCGTGCACAGCTCTTGATTTAATGGATTTGCTTGCACTGGAGATTGCCTTTGAAGGATCTGACTTGCAGGCTAGCTGTCCCTAGGGGTTGGCATTTCTTTGCAGGTGGGTTAGCAGCTGTGAAAAAAATGCAGGTGTGTAAAAATGCAGATGGTTCTGTGCGTTCCCTATTCAAGGTTACAAGGTCAGTGCCAACAGGTAGAAGCAGATTCTTACTGGTCCCCAGTCACTTTGCCATAATTATAGTGGCCATAATTATTCTGACCTCTGAAGAGATGCTTGGGAGTGCCAGCCTTGTATGTGGCCTGTTGGAGGAGGGAAAAGGGTGAAACTGGGTCGTCTTGGCAGGGAGTGAAGGCTCTTTGTTTGGGTGCCCCTTGTGCTGACAGAAGAGTTTTCCTTCCATCACATTCCCTTGTTTTTATTTCGTTCTTATTTGTTTTCCTGCACCATGTTACCTCCTGACCAGGCCGTGCTGCAGGGCTGCGCTGACGGAGTGACGTGGTGGTGGACAACCATCTAAATTAGGCTGCCTGGTTGTTTTGTCCTAGTTTTAGAGGTGGCAACTTGTGGGTGATGAGACTTTCCCAGGTTTTCAGAGGCTGATTTTCAGAGGCTTGTGGAAGAGTCAGTGAAATGGT